GTACAGGGAGCACTGGGGAAACTTAAGCAGACAAGGAAGGAATAGGAAAAAACTATTACCCGAGGTAAATGCAAATTTCGACATGGAATGGAAAAGCGGTTCTTCTACTGGCGGAGAGTCAGAAAGCAAAGGACGAAAACTACAGACGCACAACTAAGTGTAGGGGCTGGGGATTTAGCTCAGCGGCACAGCGCCTACCTGGCAAGCTCAAGGTCATGAGTTCGGTTCCCAGTACCAGAAAAAAAACCAAAACCAAAACAAAATACAAAAACAACAACTAAGTGTAAGGCTCGGTCGGCCGCGGCTCTCCAGTACCCGGCCCGTCTGCCGGCAGAGGCACTGTTCTCACTCAGCACTAGGGCTGCCCTGCAAACACAGGATGGCTACAAGACATACGAGGAGCAGGACACCCGCACGCCCGCACATCTGAAGACACCCCAACACCTACAGCAGACGCCTCAAGGACTTGGGCCCATGCGGCCCGAGACAGAGAGCTGTGACCACTGAGGTTTCCTAAGCTCTTCCCACCTAATGAATGTCCTTTGCCTTCTCTCAAGCCCCATAAAAACCAGCCCGCTTGTGTTTGTTCCCTACAGACAGCCTGTCCACCCTGCGCCCACGCACAATAAATTCCACACCACGCAGCCTTCACACAAGCCCCGTCGGGCTGGTCTCCACCTCCAGGCGCTCCTCACTCTAAGGACAAAAACCATCTGCTTAGAAGCAGAAGGCACCTTAAGACGTTCAGGAAAATAAGAAAATCAGGGTTTGAGCTTTGTAACGGTCATGAAATAAAAGTAACTAACACTCACAAACAGTGAAAACAGCACAAAGTGTACGGGCTCCACCAGGCACTGTGTCCGAGCATCTTCTCTAGACCCTTTGTGTTTCTCCTGTTTTGTTTTTCAGAGTCTCACTAAGTAGTCCCGGCTGGCCTTGAACTCACACCTCAGCTTCCAGCAACTTTCAGTTGAGGAAGAGAGCTAAGGAGTGAGAGGCCAATATGACGACATGCCGTGGGGTAAGAAATTCCACGATCCCCTAAACTGTGGCGAACACGGCCTCTGCCCTGAAGACTGGACAGGAAAGCAACGAACTCACGGGAGCCAAGAGATCTGCGCAGACATCAGAATGAAGAAGTCTCCACTAAATTGGAGTGGGAAAGGAGGACACGGTGGAGGGGAGGCAGTGGAGTTGAAGGCCTCCAGTTCTCCCGGAAACACTAACACGTGTCGATATCTTACAGAAACTGCACTCACTGCATGACCTCCGGGCCGCTCTATCCCACAGAATGTAGACACGCTAGAAGCACCTTGTGCAAACATTCTGAGACCCAACTGAAATACAACTTGGAAAGAAGAAAGAAATCTAGGAAAGAACACACAGCACGCTCTGCATCACCCAGGACCACACCATTTCCACACCTACAAAATGGTCCTTTCCATTCAGACACAGGGTTCTGGTTAAAGTTACATCATGAATCTCATCAAATTTATGCGCAACGACATACTCAGCTTTAAACTAGAAGGCACTGGGGATATCACATTCAACACACACAAATGATTCCACCAGTAACCACGTATCTTAAATTAATTCTTCCAGCTGTAAGAGAGTAAAATAAAGAGACCTCTAACCCAGGTATAATGATGCATTCCTGTAGTTCCAAGCATTAGGGAGGCTGAGGCAGAGAGATTCCAAATTTGAAACCAGCCTGGGCAACTTAATGAGACTATATCTCAAAATAAAAAAAATTTAAAATGGGTTGGGGAGATAGCTTAGTGTGAAGGCCTGGGCCCAATCCCCAGTACTGCGGAAAAAAGAAACAGAAAAACTTGATTTTATGTGTAATCCTGAAAGAAGATAAATCTGAATACTTGCCTTGGGAACTCCCAGGACGGTTTAAACTAGAAGTAGGAGACACCACAACTGGAGCTGAAAAGGGTGATTAAAATAACCACTTTCCAAACAGCCTATACAAGGATGTAAGTAACTTTTCTTCCTCCTCTACAGAATTTCAACTTTTTTTTTTTTTTTTTTTTTTTTTTCTCCGGTACCGGGAATCGAACTCACGACCTTGCGCATGCCAGGCAGGCGCTTTTGCCGCTGAGCTAAATCCCCAGCCCGAATTTCAACACTTTGCCTAAAATATTACAGGGCTTCCTATTGCTAGTACAAAAAATATTATCAAGATGACAAAAAAATATTTCCTCTTGCCCACAGGGTGGGGTAATAACCAGATGACATTCTGTTCATAAAGCCACCCTCCCAGATGTTATTTCTGATAGAGAAGCCTGGTAAGACTTCCAGATGTGGGACTCACAGGTACACAAGAAAGTGCCTTGCACGCATCAGGCCCCGGGTCCAACCCAACACTGTAAAAGCAATCAGAACTATAAACAAAAGACACAGCAAAACTACAAGATTTTGGAAATTCCTGTGTGTCCTGCAAAAGCAACCTTTACTCACCCTCTGGAAAAACACCTAATTCTAATAGCTTGCCTTCTGAATCACGTTACTCTGATAATAGCGCGCCAGTGACATCTCAGGTTTCTGATGGGTGTAAACACAAGCAAGGGGACCACTGACACTTTTCTCATGCTCCAAGTTAAAGAAACCCAGTGACCTATAGCTTGAAAGTTATTTAAATTACCCATCATTTCCTTTAAAACAATGAAAAAGACGGCTGTGATACACAATGCTGTTTGTTGAGGCACAGCCTTTCCACGGAGGACACTGAAAAAAGCTCCCGAGTAGGGGGTTCAAACCCACCAGGGTACACAAAGAAACGTGCCCTGGGAGCCACGCAACACGGAGGCCCAGAGGAAGGAGCCACAGGAGCGGAGACGAGTGCAGGAGACTTCACACTCACGTACTGCTGATCTTTTAAAAATTTTGACATATGTAGTTATTTGTGAATAATTAAAATTAAAAATAACGGGCTGGGAATGTAATCTGTGGCAGAGTATTTTGCTAGTGTATATGAGACCCTGGGTTTAATCCCCAGCACCATTTAATTAATAAGAATTACCTTAATTGTTTGCAAGTTGATCCTTCCAATTTCTTACTGAGTCTTTAAATCTCTATTTCCTCAACAAACCTGATTTTGGAAAGACACCCTTAGCATTGTAACTTCTGCATTTTCTGTTAACTGCTGACACAGCCCAAATTCACTAACCTCGAGTTATTTTCACTGCGAGGATCTTCGAAATATATAGACTGGAGACGTCACGCAGAATTTACATGGTATCTTACAAAACAGATTATTGTTTGCCTGATATTTTTCCAAATATTTAAAATCCAGAGGACCAACACTTAGCATGATAATTATTTGTATGCTATCTCACAGTACTGATTAGTCTGTTTGCCTGACATCTTCCCAAATAGTCAAAGATTATTATGCTTTCATATGTCATCAGTATTCAAATCATTTTTGAATGACTTCAAAAACATCAACTCATAAAAATGTTAAGTCTCTTTATTTATTTTGGCAATGCACACCAACTGGAATATAATAGATTCACAATAAGGTCCCTCACATACCCCAAAATTGAGAAAGGCAAAGTACCGTGAGTGCAAGTACATCCAGTGAACGAAATATAATGCATATAAAGTGCTAAACATGATAATGAAACAGCAGTACCAAAAAATGTTTATGATAAGTATATACTGGAAAAAGATACAGCACAAAACTACTATTATGGTTATAATTATGTTTAAGGAAAAAATCCTAATGAGGAATGGCGGCACTTGCCTGTAATCCAGTACTTGCGAGGCTGAGGCAGGAGGACTGTCATGAGTTCAAGGCAACCTGGGCTACATACTGAAGGCCAGCCTGAACAATGAGGCCCTATTTCGACAGAGACAGAGACAGGGAGAGTGCAAGCCCACCCTAGCGTAAGAGTGTACTGTATGCCAGGGTCAAGACAGTAAACCCTCTTGAGTGAGCATGAAGCGGGTGGGGACCAGCCTGAGAAGTGAGGGGGTCTGCAGTGCCGGCCAGCCGTGTTGTTTCTTGACTTCTGTGCTGTTGCAAAAACATCTTTACCACTTTCAAAATACACGCTTGGGGACTGTGCAATATTATATATTATAAAGCTTCATGTAAGTTTCAGAGCTGGACAAAGCAGCACACGCCTGTAATCCCAGCTATGCAGGAGCAGATCTGCCCAGCACGTGTGACGCCTGGATTCAATTCTGAGTAGGAAAGGAGGAGAATGAGGAAAGGGGAGTGAGAGGGAAGGAAGAACAGAAAGAAACAGACAAAGAAAGGGAAAAATGCCAGTGTGAGAACTTCTATCTAAAGACTAAAAAATATACAAATGCTAGCCATATTAGGGTAGCAGAATCCTATCTTTTTATTTCTCATTTTCAAAGATTTCTCACTTTTTGCCCTAGCACTGGGGATGAAATCCCTTTGCAAGTGCTAAGTACTCTACCCCTGAGCTGTATTTCCCAGTCTCAAAGGTTCAGGTCACCTTAAATCCTTCCTCAAACAATAAGGAGTAAGTGATTTCCATGTGCCAGACCCTAGTGGAGGAACAAACTTGGGTGTGATGATGCACATTCGTAATCCCAGCGCTCAGAAGGCTGAGGCAAGAGGATCCCCATGAGTTTGAAGCCAAGTGGGCTACATAATGAGTTCAAAACCAGCCTGAATTACACAATGAGACCCTATCTCAAAAGAAAGAAGGAACCGGGCGTGGTGGTGCACATCTGTAATCCCAGCACTCGGGAGGCTGAGGCAGGAGGATCACTGTAAGTTCGAGGCCAGCCGGGGCTACAAAGTGAGCTCAAGGTCAGCCTGAACTTCATAAAGAGACGGAAAGGAAAGAAGGAAGAAAGGAAAATCAAGATGTGTTAGGTACTTGCACAAACTTCCCATGATGAATGATGTAAGACTATATACTGCAAAGGTACTAATAAAAATAAAAAACTTAAAATATCATAGAGAAGAACCACAAATTCCTTAGAGCTGACAGGAGTCCACACTAGTACCGTACCTCTCCTCTATTCTGTTCTTATCCATGAGAGGCTGCTTAATCCACTGGTTAACAAGCCTCTGTCCTTGCGGGGTTTTGCACTTATTCAGCAACGCAGCCAGAGACTGAGAGCCGGCGGTGTCTTCCACAGAACCCTAGTGAGCACGGAGCACGGAGAACGGCACTCAGTAAGGCTTTATTACGCTATTTTAAAAAGCATCACATGCTTCTGGGAACAGGAACACATAAATATTCTTTTAATGTAAAATGGGAAATTTTCACAGAAAAATCCCTTTCACTAAACTCAACTTTCAACCTGATAATCTACACTTTCAGCTATTCTTTAGTTCTCAAGCCAAAACTGCACTATAGTATTGCAGCTGATGTAACTTTAAAAAACTGCTGTTAATTTACAAAACTACTCATAAAACTAACACAAACAGTAAGCATACAGTTTAGAACTAGATAAATCAGGGGCCAGAGACATAGCTCAGCAGCACAGCGCCTGCCTGGCAAGTGCAAGGCCCTGAGTTTCATTCCCAGTACCAAACAAAAAACAAAAAACTAACTAGAAGACCAGGCATGGTGGTGCACAACTGTAATCCTAGCACTCAGGAGGCTGAGGCAGAAGGATCCTTACGAGTTCAAGACCAGCGTGGGCTACAAAGTGAACTCAAGGCCAGCCTGAACTGCATAGCAGGATCCTGTCTCAAAAAAAAAAGAGAAAAGAATAATACTTCAAAATATTTATGTTAATAATAATATTCTCCAGTACGTATCAAAGAAAATATTTTTAACCTATGTATTTTGTTTCGTTTTGTTATTTTTACCTGGAAAAGATTAAGGGCTTTAACTGCTGCAATATCCAATTTCATGTACTGGCTGAAGTCAAACGTAGTTAGTTCAAACTGCCCAAAATTTGAATCATCAGATAGGAGTTCCAAGAACTTGATGACTGCAGACAGTGATGAAACTGCTACCTAAAAAGTTAAGGAATTAAAATAAGAGATTCCTGTATCACCAGTACTAATTCTAGAGTTTAAGAACAAATACAAAAAAAAAAGAACAAATACAAATAAAAGTTATTATAGCATCATTTTTCTCCTTCCTTCCCCATCTGAATCAAGAAAATAAAAATTAATCTCTTGAGGTTAGAAAACACAAATCAGAAAGTTTAAATTATCCAAAAAGGTACGCAATATTATGAAGAGTATGGATAAATCTTACAACATTGAATGGAAAAAGCTAGACCCAAAAGTATGTTACGTACCGTAATTCCATTTATCATTTATATAAACTACAAAATCAGGCAAAACCAATCTATACTATTAGAGGTCAGAACCAGGTTACCCCGGTGAACGTAGTGACTGTAAGGAAACATAAGAGGGGCTCACAGGCCCCAGGAATGTTCCGTTTCATGGTTGCTGATAAGGTGGGGATAGTCAGTTAATGGAAATTCTATTACAGACTTACGGTGCATACACTTTCCCACATACATTCTTAAACAAAATGATTTTAAGTTATACAGATTCTTATTGCCTGCTATTACTATAACAAAAAATAAAAAACTCAAGACATCAAACTGAGGGGCTGCGGATTTAGCTCAGCAGCAAAGCAGCTGCCTGGCAAGCGCAAGGTCGTGAGTTCGATTCCTGGTACAGGAAGAAAAACAAACAAACAAAAAAACAAGATATCAAACTGAGAGCCAGTGATGAATTATACAGTGGCGCCTCGGCTCAGGAACCAAACTCTTTCCATAATTCTGTTTGTAAACCAAACTGGACAAGAATCGAATCAGAGCTCCTCATAAGGTCAACACTGAACCTAACGCTGAATTTGTTTCATTTCTTGTCCAATTCAGTTTGCAACCAGAACTGCAGAAAGAATCAAATTCATGAACCCAAGTACCACTGTGTTTATGGAAGTACACTTGAGGGTCCAGGGGTATAGCTCAGTGCTAGAGTGCATGCACAGCATCACATGGTCCTGGGTTCAACTTCCAGCGGCACAAAACACAGCGTAACATAAAATACACAGTACTTTAACACCATGTTCATTGTGCATCTATTTTTGATAACATTATTTGATAACACAGTAAACTACTCTACCCTGGCCAAACCACTAGCGATCCTTTAAGGCAAGTAGTTTTAGCCTTATTTAACAGATAATGAAACCACCTTACAGTCCCCCACAGCTGATCCGTAACAAAGCTGAGACAGAAAAAAGCATTCTTCCCCTCCAGTTATTATGCTACCACCTACTGAAGTGCCAGGAGTCAGGCCCTCTACTGTGAAGCACTAAAGCCCTTCCATACCCCAGGCACATGTGCCGTGCACATATGGCATTATATTTAAAGCCATGTTTAAATTTTTTCAATCACTGGGCCTGGACGCACATCCCTGTAATCCCAGCACTCGGGAGGCTGAGGAAGGAGGATCGCCAGGAGTTGGAGGCCAGCCTGGGTTACAAAGTAATTACATTCAAGGCCAGTCTAGCGTACACAGCAAGACCTGTCTCAAAACACCAAAAAAATTAATCATTTTTTTCAGTCCCACCCTTAAGGTTTTTGGTGTTTTGGTTTTTTTTCCCATAAACACCATCATAGAGAAAAGCTTAATATTACCAACCCAGACTTTAGGTTTTGAGATAAATGTGACAGAAATGCCCTCTGAAGAGTTATTGTTTAAGAATAAATTCACATTTGTAACCCACATACCTGATTTTCCATTTCTGGCAAGACAGCACTATTCACCTGTTCTCCTTTTTTGCCTTTTAACAACCGGTTGAGGTCCTGGTAAATGTCTTTTGTGGAGAAGTCAGCTTTTTTTCTTTCTGTGATCAAAATTCCTGCTCTCTGAATAATCTATTTTATAAGACATATTTAAATTAGTACTGAAAAACAGAAAAATACAGCTGGGTTTGTGGCGCACATCTGTAATTCCAGCACTGGGAACCTGAGGTAGGAAGACTACAGAATTCAAGCCAACCCAGACAATTCAGTGACTTAGAGTTTATCTGAAAAAATAAAAAAAGTTGGGTATGGTGGCAAATGCCTGGGATCCTAGCACTCAGGAGGCTGAGGCAGGAGGATCACTGCAAATTCAAAGCCAGCCTGGTCTACATACTGAGTTCAAGGCCACCCTGGACTACATAGTAAGTACCCATCTTGAAAAAAAAAATAAAAACTTTTACCAGAACACTATTTGTAGAAAATTGCTTTAGATATTGTCTAGCCTAAAAAGGTTCCTCATAGGTTTGCTATCTGATAGCTTTTCTTTTTTTTTTTTTTTGAGTCAGGTCTCACTCTGTAGTTCAAGCTGGCTTTGAACGAACTCACAGCCATTCTCCTGCCTCAGCCTCCGAGTGCTGGGATTACAGGCACCTGCCACCATGCCACTCATAGCAATTCTTGTGGTATTTGAGGCTCAGAAAAAACTCCTTACAGGATACACCTTCCCTTAAGAAATATCTAAATAAATGAACCACAGACAAATGACATAATGAGGGGCTGGGGATTTAGCTCAGCGGCACAGCACCTGCCTGGCAAGCGGAAGGTTGTGAGTTCGATTCCCAGTACCGGAGAAAAACAAAACAAAACAAAAAAACAAAGGACATAATAAGAATTTGATTAAGATAGAAGAATCACTAAAGTAAGACACTAAAACTCCACTTGGAGCTAGAGATGCAGCTCAGTGGTGGCCTGTTTACCCGGCATCCACAGGGCCCTGGCCTCAATCCCTAGTCATAAATAAATGAATAAACACATACCAGGCATTCCCCTGGAACTACTGAAGTATAACTCTAGATCTCAAGAGGAGCTCAGTGGCTGAACACACATTTAAAAATGCTGCAGGACCTGGGCTGATTGCCAGGCCACCAAAACCGAGAAAGTCCTGAAGAACGTCACATGATTTGTTTGCTGAACCATGCTACAGGCAGTAATATTTACAGTAAAATTACACTTCTGGGGTGAAGGCACAAAGAGGAGAAGCCAAAAGATCTGTGGTAAGAGTCTTACACAAGAACAGCTTATTCTGATGTCCTCAAACTGTTTCTGTCAAAGATCAACATCAGACAGTCTTCAAAACACACCACGATTTCGATTAGATTAAAACTGACTGGGCCGGGGAGATAGCTCAGCAGCACAGCACCTGCCTGGCAAACGCAAGGTCCTGAGTTCAATTCCCAGTATTAAAAAAAAAAAAAAAAAAAAGGCTTAATTTTTCCATAAACAAAACAGCATTATTTGAATGAAGCACCTATCGGAGGCTTGGATCATGGCCTTACCTGCCGCAGCTTCCCCATGTCCCCGGCGGTCTCCCCTCCAGGTAAGACACATTCCTTTGGTCCGATCTGAACCAGGAGAGCTTCCAGATTGGAGAACTGGTCATTATCGGGGAATTCACACAGTCCCAGCTTCCTCTGTGTGGAGTCAACATAGCCAACCCCAACCTGCCTCTGACCATCAAGCACAGACATTTTAATGCCCACAACACCAACGGAAGCTGCCATATCATTGTGACCGAAGAGAACATCTTCAAACTGAGAAAGATTGCCGGGAGAAGCCTACACAAAAATGAGGAAAAACTTTAAGAAACTGTTCAACACCCTTTAAAATTTTACTAGCAAATAATAAAATTAAATTAAATTAAATTTTACTAGCAAACAAGAACTTTAGTGGTAAAATGTTTTCTTACAAAAATAACTGCTGAGGGCCTGGGGATTTAGCTCACCGGCAAAAGCGCCTGCCTGGCAAGCGCAAGGTCGTGAGTTCGCTTCCTGGTACCGGAGAAAAAAAAAAAAAAAAACTGGTCTCCAAATGTTCAAAATATTACACATTTTCCACAACGGGCCCACCCTCCTTTTCCAACTGTTTTCACAACCCTTTTGCACATCTAACAATAACTCTGATCAGGCACGAAGGCCCACGTCCCTAACGCCAGCACTCAGCAAGCTAAAGCAGGAAGGTTTCCTGTGCACTGCTAGCCTAGGTGTCACAGCAAGCTGTCAAGTCTGTCAACAGTGGCTTTCAGTTTTAAATACGGCAGCTAGACTTACACACACAATCATTAAGATAGGGGCTGGGGATTTAGCTCAGCGGCAAAGCGCCTGCCTGGCAAGCGCAAGGTCATGAGTTCGGTTCCCGGTACCAGAGAAAAACCAAAA